GCCGCCCGCGGCACCCGCCCTGCGGAGCTGCCCCCTGTGCCAGCTGGACTTCAGCCTGGGGTGAGCGCCCCTGGGAAACCCATCAGCTCTGCGGCCCTAAGCGGCAGCTCACCGGGGGAAGCTGGGGCAGGGGTGCAGGGCTGTGGGCCTAGGGCCCCGGGCTGGCCCCGGCCCCTCTGGACTGCCCTCGCCCAGGCCACAGCAGCGGGCAGCAGCCTTTCCTGCCCCAGACCCCGGCAGGACAGGTGGTGCCCGCCGGTGTCCAGGGCGGCCTCGAGCCCCCAGCGCTGGGTCAGACGTGCCCTGGAGCGCCGGCGGGGCCTTGTGCCCTGGCAGGGAGTGGCCCTCTCCTACGGGCTGGGAGAGGCCTGCACAAAGCAGGAGGGGCGTGGCCCGAAAGTAGCTCCTGGCCAGTGCTGCCTCGGTTTCTCCGACGGAGTGGACGCCGCTGGCTTGGTCTGGGGTGTCCGCAGGGCGGCGCCTTCCTCCCCACCGCAAAGGCCTGCGCTACTGGGGGTGCGCAGCGGCCCCAGGGTAGGACAGCCTGTGTCTGCAGGGGACCTGTGCCGTGGCCCTGGTGCGGGTGGCTGTGCCATGGCTGCCGCTGGGGGCCGAGTCCTGGAGAGCATGCCCCTGGCACCCTGGGGCGCCTGGGGGAGCCCTCTTCCCGCCCCTCCTGTCACAGTGACTCTGCGGTCGTGGGGGGCAGGGCTGAGGAGCCGGCGTGGGGGTGGCCCGCATCCCTCCCGGGTGACTGGTCTGCTCTCCAAGCAGGCTGACCCCACTGGACGTCGACAGCCACCTGGCCCAGTGCCTGGCAGAGAGCACGGAGGACGTGGTGTGGTGAGCGGGGGGCACCTGCGCCCCTCGGCACAGCAGCGCAACAGACGCGTCTGGGTGGCATCCCAGGCGCGGACCCCGGGAGCTGAGTGGACGGACCTGCTGGCGGCACCTGGCCCGGCTGGGGGACTCGACAGCCGAGCACGGCAGCCTTCTCTGGGCCCTGGGGCCCCCCACAGCCACGCCGCCCACAGCCCGTGCACTGAGGGGCCTCGGTCACCCGGGCAGGGCGTCCCGCTGTGGCCAGCCGCGCCCTCCACCACAGGGGCTTCCAGCGGCTGCGCCTCCCCGTCCACCCTGCGCAGGGCCCAGCGCAGCTGGCCTGCTGGCGCCCCGGCCGCGGTC